TATGGAAAATAAGACAATATATAATACACATAATCAGTGCATAAATAATTACAGTGAAGCAAAATGTAATGCAATGGTGTTTAATTTAATTCAGCAGTATTTTAACATTGTTGCAGTAGTTTGGGAAGGAAGTGTCTGTGTTTCAGCATGACAGTGACCCTTTGAACAAAAGGAAGTCCATAAATCTTTAACGGAGTCTGCTGTGGAAGAACTCGAAAGCCCAGACCTGAACCCCAAGAAACACTTTTGGGGTGAACTGAAACACTTTACACATATTTAAAGAGCAAAACAGTATAAAATATCAAACAAAAATGTTTAATTACTATTAAATATCTTAAATGTGAAATATCTTGAAATTATTCTTGAATATATTTATAAATATATTTTTAAAGCATAATACTTTAGGGAACATTTCACAACAGAAGTGTGAAAAGAAAAAAAAAAACACCTATTGTTTTCAGTTTATAATATTTTATGCAGTGTTCTACTTTTCTGCTAGTTGCCAAGATTAATCAATAAACACCAAATGCATGGATTGAGTTCACACTTTTACCATTTTTACATAATTTTAATGGCAGGCCAAATGCTATTTTCTTGATTAGGTTAACCTCAAATTTTTATATTTATTTGAATTAAAATCATAAAAATATTCCAAACAATGAAAAATGTATACCAGCATTGTTGATGCATAATTAATATACTCCTTGACACGATGTTGATGAAGATCAGCATAGTTGACAGAATTCTTGTGCACAAGAGTAAAATGAAATATTTTCTTATTTGAAAGAAAATTGTATTTAAACTGAAGCATACTGAAAAGCATGCATTCTCTTAGTGTGTAAAATAAGATATTTCTTGAGAAAATTGCTTGAAAAAAAATAAAGTTATCAACAACGGACATGAAATGTACCCTAAAATATAGACTGACCCATATAGAAACATCCTTATGTCTTTAAGTGTCATAATCTTGTTTTGCAGGGACAGAAAATATTACAGATATTGGGAG